TAAAGAATAGGACCTTTACTAGATATTGAGTATGATTTCAGCTACATGATTTCTAGTGTAGCCAAAAAAACTCATTTTTTGACACATTGCCTTCTTTGGTAATTGTGCTCCTCATTTTGTGTATGTGTTGCTTCTTTAGATAATGTTGAAAAATGTCTTTAGCTCCTCCATAGTATAAGCATAAATCTTCTTGGCAACATCAAGTCTTTTCTTACTTTGTAAAAGTTTTAAAACATATTATATCAATTTACATTAATTTCTACTTTGATAAATAAGTTTTTGAAAACTTAGATGCTACTATCATCACTTGACTTGTTCCTCTCTAGCCGAGTCTTTGTTGTTGATGCCTTTCAAATAGTTACATGTTACATACAATGATTGGAGTAATAAATTATTTTAAAGATTTTACTTTCAACATTGTCAATAATAAATCTTTGACATTATCCTTCAATCCATATCAAAATTGATTGATGAGAGCTTTGTCATTTCAATCCACGTTGCAAGCAAGATTTTCAAATTCAACAACATATATGGTCATTGATCATAATCATTTTTGAAAATATAAGAGTTTCGCCTCTACTACTCTTTCTCAATTACTTTCTTTGAATGTGGTTATAAACACTTCTAGGAATGAATTCAAATCATAAAAGAGTTGCAAATCTTTTTTAATCAAAGATGCAAACTAAAAGAGAGCACTTTGAGATAGGAGTGTACCTATGAACCCAACTTGAGTAAATCCATCAAGATATTAGAAGAGATACAACCTTACATAGAACTTGATTTGTTATAGAAATCCTCAAAATTTTGAACTTGTACAATTAAACTTCTTGAGCATATTAATCCTTATCTCCATTGTACTTCAAGAAGCAAAACATACTGGATTTGGTTGTGAGGTCGATCTACTTACTTCCTTCAACTACACAACTTCTTGATATAGACTTTGAATTTCTTCTATAGGCATAGGATTAATATTTCTATCGTTAGCACTAGTGATGTATAAAAGTTCTACTCTAAGAGTATTGACAAGTTTGTCAAGATGTGCAATAGTTGCAAATCTATTCTCACTTCCATCAAGTATAGCATCTATGATTTTTTCTTCTATTTCAAATAACTTAACAAATCTATAAGTCAAATTAGAGGAGGATAATCAACAATCTCTAACATCAAATAAAAATTTCCATAAAGAAGAATAATCTGCTCTCTTTAAGGAAAAAATCATTGTTAAAAAAGTAAAAAAATTATTTAAAGGTGGATAATCTGCAATCTTGAAATCACAACATTAAAAGTGAGATAAACTACTTACTTCTAAAAAATGACAAGAAAAATAAAATAACATTCTTGTCAAACTATCAAGGACATGAATCTGAAGAAAAGAAATTTTCAATACATTCTTGTATCATTCAAATGAACTTGGAATATCACTCAAGGATGATATAGTATTAAATTAAAATGGCTATTGCCAAAGACAAGAAAATTAGAAAGTCTTGAAATAAAACTAAAGAATAAAAAGGCATTGACAAAAGTGAAGGAGGCTTTACTTTTGCCTCTATATGTACTATCTAACTAAGCTCTATGTAGCAATGTTCTATAGAACCTCCAAAATGTGTTGACTATACAAAACATGTATCTTAACTTGCAAGGCAAGTTTTCTATATGTAGATTACATAGTTAGCTTATTCTGCAAGCTATTAACATGTGTAGCATATGATTAATTTGTTGACCAAGTTTCTAATATATCAATCAATTACAAACATATATGAAGTCACAACAACATCTATGAAGCTTTTAGGAAGCTTTTTTAAAAGATATTATGAAATAAATCTACTTTTACCTACTTCTACTTAATCATATAGGTAAATATTAGAATAAATATATATATATATATATATATATATATATATATATATATATATATATGTGTGTGACATTTATAAAAGTCTTCAAAAGTAATGGAAGAAGATATATATTAAAATAATTATATTAATATTTATCTTAATTTATAATCTTTTTTATTCTATATTTTGTATTATTTGATGGATGAAACTTCATAAAAAAAGTTATAAGTATAAATTCTTAAAACCAATTTTTCTTTATATATAGTTAAGAAAAAAGTAGAACCATATTTGTATTGTATGTTAGTATTATCATAAATTTTTAGTTCTTAAATTATATTTAAAATATACTTTAATTTTTTTTGATTATAGGATCTTTGTTAAGCATTGCTTTTATATTTGTGTTACATAAATGCTAATAGATAAAGAAAGTTAATTCTCTCTAGTATATACTTTTATTTATGAATAAAAAAATAAAAATTTAATTCTATAGAATTTATGTATTTATCACATTTTATAATTTAATAATCAAAATTTAGCTTTGATTCACTAGTCACTCCATACACTTTTATATATATCAAATATCATTTTTTTAAATAAGTTTATTTTTATATTTCCAAAACTAATTAGAAAATATAATAATTGCCTATAACTTGCAAAATATTTACAATGCTGTGGAAATTAAATACAAAAAATAGTAAACAATATATTTTTGTATGATGTATATTTATGTTGAATTCAATGTATTATGTCTTTAGCTTATCGTCAACAACTAATAGCTTCATTTCAAACTTAACTTAGTATTTATAATTAATTAATTTAACAATCAAATTTCTAATATATTTTTATATTTTATTATGTAAATCCATTGGCCCAAACATTTCAAAATCTTACATTTATGGAATTATGGACTATTTATTAAGTTCAAACACTTTTATATCTTCCTACCAATAGAAAGAAAATTTTCAAATGCAGCACCTCTTACATTAGAAGTACAATTATGATGTTATAAATAATAGTATTTATTTGTGAATACTACTATTTGTAACATACATTCATCCAATCCTTATAATCCACATCCAACACCATGCACCCAATTTTCATCCAATGCACCAAGAATTCCACATCCAACACCACATACCCAATTTTCATCCAAAGCACCAAGAACTCCACATCCAACACCATGGACCTAATTTTCATCCAATGCACCAAAAACTCCACATCCAACACCACGCACCTAATTTTCATCCAATACACCAAGAACTCCACATCCAATATACCAAGAACTCCACATCCAATACACCAAGAACTCCACATCCAATACTACGCACCCAATTTTCATCCAAAGCACCAAGAACTCCACATCCAACACTACACACCCAATTTTCATCCAAAGCACCAAGAACTCCACATCCAACACTATGCACCTAATTTTCATCCAATGTACCAAAAACTCCACATCCAACACCACGAACCTAATTTTCATCGAATGCACCAAGAACTCCACATCCAATACCACGCACCCAATTTTCATCCAAAGCACCAAGAACTCCACATCTAACACCACTCACCCAATTTTCATCCAAAGCACCAAAAACTCCACATCCAACACCACGCACCTAATTTTCATCCAATGCACCAAGAACTCCACATCTAATACCACGCACCCAATTTTCATCCAAAGCACCAAGAACTCCACATCCAATATCACGCATCCAATTTTCATCCAAAGCACCAAGAACTCCACATCTAACACCACTCACCCAATTTTCATCCAAAGCACCAAAAACTCCACATCCAACACCACGCACCTAATTTTCATCCAATGCACCAAGAACTTCACATCCAATACCATGCACCCAATTTTCATCCAAAGCACCAAGAACTCCACATCCAACATCACTCACCCAATTTTCATCTAAAGCACCCAAAACTCCACATCCAACACCATGCACCCAATTTTCATCTTAAGTACCAAGAACTCCACATCTAACACCATGCATCCAATTTTCATCCAAAGCACCAAGAACTCCACATCCAACACCATGCACCTAATTTTCATCCAAAGTACCAAAAACTCCACATCCAACACCATGCACCCAATTTTCATCCAAAGTACCAAGAACTCCACATCCAACACCACTCACCCAATTTTCATCCAAAGCACCAAGAACTCCACATCCAACTTGGATGGATGATTTCCATACATCTATCCATCCCACGAGGACGAGCAAATAATTAGTGTGGGCTTCAATAAAGTGAGCGGCCGCAATTTATTTTTCTATCTAGATCGGAATCAATAAATGAATGAATAAAGTTTGCCATCCTTCGCCGATATTTTCTCCGGACCCGCTGGAATGCACCCAAAGGAAAAAGAGAGGAGACGAAGACGACGACGTCGGAGATGAAGAGAGTGAAGATTTTTTTGTGGCATCGTTGTGGTGGGAAACATCACAGCGAGGAAACGTGGTCATGCGGAACCAAACAAATCTTGTGAAAAAGAAAATTATAAAAAAATTATAAAAAAAAAGTTGTAAAAAAATACTGGACAAATGCACCGATTAGACAGAGAAGCGGCGAGGAAATTCGATTCCAATCGAGTAATGGATCCGCCGCTGTTTCGTTTTACTTAATGCGGATAGATTTTCTGTTGGGAGATGTGAAATTCATGCGATCTGTGTGTGTGGGCGACGTCATCGATCTCGACGAAAGCGGTGGAAACCAGATGACGATGCATATATCTGCGCCCTGGATCCGTCATCGCACGGCACCGGAGCAGTCGACGACGGTAAATCGTTGCCAGTGGATATAAACTGGCAAATCAGTGCAAGTAAGTTTTCTGTGGGTTTTGGAAAAAAAACGGAAAGTGGAGTGCAAGGTTTAGCCACAAGGGTGTTTGTACCGCGATCAGAGTACCAATGGACCCGAAGGTGAAGTGGATTTTATCAGTTCGTGAGGACTAGGTGAGTAAATTAGTCGAAGGTGGGGAGTGATTGGTTGAGGGAAAGCAGGGATCTGGATAGGGTAACGGTGGTAGTCCAGGCATCGCAGAGCAGTGGAGTGTGGAACCTATCAATCAGCACCACACGAAACGAGCCAATCGTAGCGATGGTTTACTGCAGCCATGGATTGTTCAGGTTACCTTTTGGCAAAAGCCTAGATGATGAGCAGACGCTGTGACCGAGATTTCTAGTAAGTCCAGTTGTGAAGTTGCTGGCGTCCACGGGAAAGCGTCTCTCGCCATCTCTCGCATCTGAGGTCTGTCGCCAGACACCGCAGCTCTGAGGGTGACGGTGACGTTGAGAGGTGTCTGCCGAGTTCGGTTTCGGATTGGTGTGTTTGGTTTGCTTTGAAAGAGCAGGACAACCCTTTGGGATTACTCTGTGTTGGGAATCGGAGACGGATGTGTAGTTGGGCTTAGAGACGGGATTTTTGTCAAGATTGTGGGAGAGGTGGCGGTGGTAGAGATGGCGTTTGTCGCAGAATCTTCGAGCTTGGTCCGGAGCTTATCCAGAAGCTTGTCCGAAGATGTGCAGCTGAGTAAGGCAACCACCTCCCAGAGCGTAGCTAAGGGGGTTTGTGTTGGTGGCAAGGTGCGAGCAGTGAGAATTCAGAGTAAGAGGATAAGAGCTGCACGAGATGTCGGCGTGGGATGTGCTGGCGGTGAATTTGCAGGGGGCAGCAATGTTGCGGCTGGGTTCTCGAGGGTTACTGATGCTGCTCGGAGTTGGAGTGCGAGCATGGGCGGTGCATTGTCACCCTCTAATTCAGTTGGCCGAAACCTCGTCACGGGGAGAGGCGAAAATGTGAGGGTGTCAGCGGTGCGAACAGCGGTGGAAGAGGAGGTTCCCCTGTTTATGCTCGAGGAGGCGTTTGAGAAGGATTACATTCCAGAGGGAAAATCCGGTGCAGAGAGCGATGGGGCGAAAGAGGTGAAGCAGAAAAAGAAGGACAAGTCGGGTGCATCGACCGTGCAATCGGGGGTGAAGCTTGAGAACATAAGTAAAACTTTTAAGGGCAGTATGGTATTGAAGGACGTGTCGTGGGAAGTCAAGAGAGGTGAGAGAGTAGGGCTTGTGGGTATCAATGGAGCCGGGAAGACGACGCAGCTCAACATAATCGCGGGCAAGGAGGAGCCTGACTCGGGGAATGTTGTGAAAGCTAGGGAGAATATGAAAATTGCCTTTTTGAGCCAGGAGTTCGAGGTGGTGGGATCTCGCACTCTACGAGAGGAATTCATGAGCACCTTTTCAAGTGAGATGGAAATTTCGGCAAGGATGGAAAAAGTGCAGGTGGGTTATTGTTACCATCATCGAACTGTTGTGTTTCCCATCTTCCAATTACATCTGATCGTTAGATTTCTCTCACTCAGTGTGTGTGTGTGTTTTAGGTTATTCATAGTGCAAGTAGGCTATCCTAATGTGTTGTGGATCGTGACTAACAGCGTCAATGATAATGTTTTCAGGTAGCGCTCGAGAACGCGACCGATGATATGGATCTTATGGCGAAGCTCTTGGATGAACTGGACACCTTGCAGCAGAAGGCCGAGGCGTCTGATCTTTACAGCATCGATGTAAGCATCAACAAGATGATGCCAGAGCTAGGCTTTACTGCCGATGACGCGGACCGATTGGTGGCTTCCTTCAGTGGAGGCTGGCAAATGCGTGTAGCACTCGGCAAGATTTTACTGCAGGAGCCGGACCTGTTGTTGTTGGATGAGCCTACAAATCACTTGGACTTGGACAGTATCGAGTGGCTGGAAAGATACTTGAAGGATCAAGATGTGCCCATGGTGATTGTGTCCCACGACAGGGCCTTCCTCGACCAGCTATGCACTAAGATTGTGGAGACCGACATGGGCGTGGCACAGACTTTCCCTGGAAATTACAGTGAATATGTGTTGGCTAAGGCGGCGTGGGTAGAAGCTCAGCGCATGGCATGGGAGAAGCAGCAGAAGGAAATTTCGCGAACTGAGGAGATGATTCAGCGGCTCAGCAGTGGAGCTAATTCTGGTCGTGCAGCATCTGCCGCTAAGGTATTGCTATTAAACATGTCTTGTACTTCCTGACTTTGACAATTACATCAAACGAACGTCGGTCAGGCATGAAAACGAAACCGATACTTATCCTTGACCTATGTTGTTGATCTGACACGATTGGATGTTGATTGAATTGCAGCAATTGGAAAAGATGGAATCTGAAGGGCAGATAGTGGAGAAACCATTTGAACGCAAGCCTCTCAAGTTCCGTTTTCCAGAGCTGGAACGAAGCGGCAGAACTGTTGTCCAGATCAAGAATTTGGGATTTCGTTATGACGACAAGGTGGGTTTTTTTTCAATAAGCTGTTACGAGATGATTTTAGCTACTTGACTGTTGGTTCTGAGTTGAACTCTTTCGGTTACCGTTGTCAAATAAAAATTGATGTGTATTGTAATATTTCATCTTAAGCAGAAACTCGAAGATAACGTTTTCTTTAGTAATTCACAGTGGCGAGTCTTACATGGTTTTCCTGTTTTGCAGGTCCTGTTTGATAACGCACAGCTCACTGTGGAGCGAGGCGAGAAACTGGCAGTAATTGGTCCCAATGGGTGCGGCAAGAGCACGCTATTGCGGATGTTGATGAACATGCAAGAGGCATCTTCTGGGGACATATCTTTTGGTGAATATAGAGTAGTACCTAACTACTTCGAACAAAACCAAGCAGAGGCTCTGGACCTGAACAAGACTGTTCTGCAAACCGTCGAAGAAGCTGCAGAGGACTGGCGCATGAATGACATTAAAGCTCTCCTTGGGCGTTGCAACTTCAAAGCCGAAATGCTGGACCGGAAGGTTGCTTTCCTAAGCGGGGGAGAGAAGGCGCGGCTATCGTTGTGCAAGTTCATGGTCACACCTTCAACTGTCCTAGTACTGGACGAGCCCACAAATCATCTGGATATTCCTTCAAAGGAAATGCTTGAGGTAACAGTTTTTGATCCTCTCTCTTCCTCTGTATTTTTCCTTAGCCGGATGTAGATACAGCACTTCAATTTTCAGTCAATCCTTCTATAGTTTTTCATTTTGCCTCTCTCACTCTTATTCTCCAATTTTACTATTTTCTTCAAGTTGATTACCAGTAGGTACTAGCATGTTAAGCTAACCCAGAAGCTTGTGGTTTGCAGGAAGCATTGAGGGAGTATAAGGGTACAGTCATCGCAGTTTCTCACGACCGGTACTTCTTGAGGCAGATAGTGAACCGTGTGGTGGAAGTGACCGATAACAAGCTCAGAGACTACAGTGGCGATTACAACGTATGCTTCTGTGTTCATGTTTTCACTTTTGCTGTACAAATCTCTTGTTTAGGTGCTTGTATCTGATATTACGTTTCAGTCAGTTTCACATATTCAGTATCTCAGTGTCCTGAATTTCGCAGTGGTCATTTTAATTCTAGTTGTGTATTCAGTGATGCACTTACTGGAGCAATATATGTGATGCTAACATGCTGTCATACAATTCCTTTGCAGTATTACTTGGAGCAAAACTTGGAAGCCCGACAGAGGGAGCTAGACCGTGAGGAGGAGCTTGAAATGAAGGGTCCAACAGTGAAGGCCAAGTCCAAGATGTCCAAGGCCGAGAAGGAGCTACAGAAGAAGCAGAAGGCAAAAGCCTTCTCCCAGAGCAAAGCGAAAGGCAAGGTGACCAAGAATGCGAAGAGATGGAACTGAGGCGTTAGGCATCCTTTGTAAGTCATCGACTCCGAACATGAATCAATTTGTTGACATGATCTTTCACCTTGAAGTACAGCGCGCAAGGAAAATCTTGGTGACAGAAGACACCGAATGGCAGCTCTACACCGCGGACAGGAAATTCATTGCTGGTGATTCTCACAAGCGCATTTGTTCATGATTTTGTATCGTTTCGAGAAACTGATAGCCAGTTCAACCGCCGGAGCTTCTTCCTGTAAATTTATTAGGGTACATACACATTTAGTTGCCTCTTTCGCACTCTTGTCTTCGCTGTTTGCATGAGTGATTGCTCTGAACCGACCAATCCGACTGGGTAGTATGTGTATTTTAAGTGTTCAGCTTTCATGTACTGGTCCGGCACTTAGTAATCAAGATGGATTATTTATGAGTGCAGTCATATTGCTATGTACAGCTACGACGAATCATTAATTGATTTTTAAATTGGTCTGATTTTTGTAAGGAAAAACCTCTTCAAACCGGGGAATCTGTGTCCTTCCACAGCATTGTGTTGAGCTTGAATGTTCTCCTTCGTCCTCTGGGACACAGTCTTGTTTCCACAGGGTGTCACGTCTTTGTGCAACTTTGTCGAACATTTTTATCAGTTGCAGGCCCTATGCCGCAGGTACTGGTGATCTGAATGGAGAGTTTTGGGACCTGTGATGATAAATGAACCTTCCACCTAGCTTTGAACTAACGAATTGGTGCGGTTGTATATTACATTTTTCGTGTTTCAGTAGGAGATGATGTGAATGACGTCTTTGATTGAACATCAACTTCACATGTTCATGCATATTCGTAACAAACTTCCAGTATTTACACATATATATTTGTGTGTGTATTTATGTATATACATAAATAAACTTGATGTCGAACTCTTGTGTATCTAAACTCAAAAACCCACATTCCTATTTTTGATGTCTCCCCAAGCCTTTAAACCTCATTGCCTTAAACTATCGTCTATCTCTTCTTGTTCTCAGAAATGTTGCGCCTTTGCTTGAATGTATTTCAAATTTGTAGATGGTAGTATTTATAACAGCTCACTGATCATGTGATGCCTTGGACTTTGAGTTAGACTTCTTCAAGTTAAATTCTTTTAATATCCCATGCAATTAAAGCATATGCAATTGTGATGATGACTTTGAGGATTCAAGAATGTAAAAGAGTTTAAGCTGTAGAAATATAATTATAATTTCAGATTTCCTTTCAGCAAAATCAGTAGTTGCAATGTATAACAATTTATGCTGCCGTTCTAAATTAGTATTTAGATCGATCATTGAAACCACCCACACTTTCACTTGAAAAGTTTTTCCAGTGTCTGTAAAGTGTTGAATGTTGGAAGACCAGAGCTAAGTTTCCCTTGGATGGAGCTTTAGTTGAAAAATTTCGAACTAAGAGATCGGAGACTGAGGAGGTAATACCAACGTGCATACTTGAGGATGGGAGCAAAATAAAGAGAAGGACACTCTAAAAGGTGTCATCATCTACTTTTACATGTTATCTTTGCAAGTTGTTGCCAAACATGCTGGGAACTTGCAACTATAGAAGCATGTTGCAAGAAGAAACGCTAAACAACAGTGAACCATGAACGTTACATCGCTCAGTTTTACTCAAATCAGCTTATAAGAGTATACCAGACACATAATGCTTAAAATAATTTCTCATGCTTCCTAGTCCTAGATTCTAAGAATTTACTGTTCACAGTCACACTTCACACAAATCTGTTTGAAGCAAGAATTGTTCCAAAAAACGGCAAACCGGTTAAAACTATGAATGCAATTTTAAAAAACTCTGAACGCGGGCTTTCAATGAGTTTTACTTATTGTGTACTCAACTCATGACCTAACTCTCATGTAGAATATCTCAAGCATTACGGACGGGCTATGAAAAAGGGTGGATACAAGACAAGACAGAGCAGAACTTGCACATAGCCCCAACAGTTAAAATTATCTAAAGTGCTAACTTCTCCATGTGCTCTTTCTTCGGGAGCTTTACCTTTGTAGCTACTCCAACAGCTTCAAGAGCACAAATGATCCACCATGTTGGGTCTAGCTGCCACCATTCAAGTCCATGCCTCGCTGAATATTCAAAAGCATGATGGTTATTGTGCCAACCTTCTCCAAATGCAAGAAGTGCCACCCACCTGCAATGAAGAGACAAAAGAAAACTAATTCAATACTTTATGAACGGTGAGTCAATCGAATCAACATCGCGGCAACAGAGCCAAATTTTATTCCAGATCAACCACGAAATCAAATGTTCGAAACAGATCATTTCTTACGTCTTGATCGAAAAAGATTGAATGAAATCATTCTACAATGTCATTTTCGATAGCCACACAAGTGCAAATCTCAGATAACTAGCTGAAGGACTGAGTTGTTCGTGAGCACAAGAATATTTAATGCCTTGGGTAAGGTGGGTACAAATTTACCAGTTATTCCTTGATAAATCACCCGTATTCCACTTTTGTGAGCCCCAAACATGAGATGCTGAGTTCACAAACCACGTAATGTGATAGACCCACACAACTCTTAAAGCCTGCAAACAAAGATAATTGTCATGATATTCCTAGGAATGTTCAATGAAAACAGTAAATCTGCAATGAGCACAAAGATTCATGTGAACCTAACAGGAAGTGGACGTTCGTTTACCAAAATTCAAATACCACATTACAATTGCTGATACGGATAATTGCATGGTACTGATTTAGGTTTTCTTTACCACGTCTGAACCAAAGACGATAGAACCCTAAAGTTTAGGTCTGTTGAAGGCTTGCCTAATGAATCGACTGGGAGTTCATAATCCAACATAAATACTTACCATGCCCCAAATTAGGTAAGGAAATCCACCCATGACATACAGCGCCACCGCCATCATGATGGGATGAATTGGATATGTCCGCTGAATAAACTGATAAAAAGGATCTTTGTCCATGTCACCAACGTTATTCCGAGCCCCGACCTGCCAGACACACTCTAATCAAATCTAAAAGAACCAAGCAAGACAAATCCTCGACCTGAAGTGAAAACTCTTAGAGAAAATATGAGTATAAATATATATATATATATATATATATATATATATATTTCACACGAAAGCAGAGAGTGATGCTCACTCTTTCTTGAGTTCTTCTGTCATCCAGTAACCATCCCATGTGACTGTGCCAGAAACCTTCATAAGGAGAATGTGGATCTTTCTCTGTGTCACAATGCTGGTGGTGATACCGATGTGAGCTTACCCACTCCAATGGATCACCCTGCACCAGAAACGTCATCACAAGATGGTCAGCACATGATTTTCCGGTCCAATTTCAGGTCCCAAAATTGTGATGTCATCTGAACTGACTCAGAATTTTTGGCAGCGTCCATTTACTTGACTGTCAATGTCCCCAAATGTTTCCAAGCGTCTAAAACACTGCTGGCTAGCTGTGAGTATGCATCAAAAAATAGCTGCTCCATAATTTGGCGTACTTTCTGCTTAAGTCTATGAATTACTGTAATAAGCATCTTCTGTACCGTCAGGAATTTTGCAAATCCCCGACGATGGTTTGAGTTTCAACATTGGTGCACACCTGACCTAATCAATTCCAGCGGCACCGTATCATAAATTCATTAAGAGATGTAAACACCGATCGTGCCGAGGCAACGTAAGCCAAAGTTATAAAACAAACCTGGACCGCTTGGACTCCACAATACGCGAAAGAGTACTCCAACCACTTGGGGAGCTTGAAGCTTTTGTGTGACAGATTGCGATGGAAGGAGAGCGTGATCCCGAACAAGCCCGTAATAACATACAAACCGAGAGAGACACCCAAAGCATCCCAAGAAAAGGTGGCTGGAGCCAACAAACACAACCCGTGCATAAATGCCATATAACCCGCGTAAGTGAGGTCCTTCGAAGTCCATGAGCGATCCTTGAAGTAATTCGGCCTTTTCTTCACCACAACATCCGACATCCATATACCCGGCTCAGAGGGGGTCGAAGATTCCCCTGTCAAGACCTCCTCCCCATCTCTCAACGACGCAGAACACTCACGAACACGTCTCGTGTATGAATCCCTCTCCGCCACTATCACGGCACCTAATTTCAATGACTCCAACCTTCGCAGCGACCCACCTAAATTGGAGTTATTGCGAAGGCGTATGTTAGTGTCCCCGATTCTACCAACCCTCCTCCAACTCCTACAGCCCACAACAGCGTTCCGCACAACACTTGGACCCCTATTGGATACCCCTCGAGACAGCGCTTGCAGGCTGCACGGCGAGCCTGCTACGACACCAACCATCTCTCCCATCTCGGGAGACCCTGCTGCTTCGCTGCACGGCCTAAAACCCCAAACCCGTCTCACAAAATCTCCATGAGCAGCGTCCTCACCACAGAATATGAAACAAGACGCATGAAAATGAACTGGAAATCCACGGCAGCTCGATCACGTCACAGAGGGCTGACGCAACGACGGTTTGGATCGCACAATGACGCGTAGCTGAGCATCGATATGCAGTAGGCTCCACTGAGCAATAATAGAATACTCGCGTTGCCTTCCTTGTGCGAAAAGGATGCTTGGAAATAATAATAAAAACTTGTGGAAAGACCTTTTCAAGGCTGACTCAAAAGCCAAATTAGCGGTGAATAGTGGTGTAAACCACCACGTCAAATTCGTCACACTTAGTGTACAAGTAAAGTTGAGATGCAAAGCAAAACACAGAGATGAGTCAAACTGCTTTCTGGTATACTTGCAGAATCTTTATATGCTATTTGAAATATGCTGTTTTCATTTATAGTTTTGAAGAATGGTTTCATTTTCCAAGGTTGGATGTCAAGATCAAATGAAGGCTGCATTCTGGCCTCTGTCTCCAATCTCTGGAATGCATTGACTGATTGCTGTTTACTATTTCTTACACTCTTTGATAGTCAATATTGAACAATATCTCCGGATTTGTGATGTGTATAAGCAGAACAATTCATCATCACGTATATGTGATCTAAATTCCACCTCACATATAGAATTACAAGATGTATACAGGAAAAACGAATCTGTACAGGTAAGATTCAATAGAGTGTGAATGAGCATGCAGGGATTATTGTGACGCTTTGAGCCAGAGCCAGAACCTCCAGCACTTGGATGTCGATTTCTGCTCCTCCTCCTGCTGCTGCTGCTGGGCACTGTCAGCACCGTAATGCTTGCGAGCGACTTTGGTGACATTGATCCCTCCATCGCTTTCCTCAATGGTGATGCTCTCGTAATCACAACACTCATCGGAGCTGATGAAGAACCTCTTCGCGGCATCATCCTGGTTTTCCAGGCAAAACTCTTGGTAAGTCCAATTCACGTCGAGGCGCATCCGATACTCGTCTCCCACGTTCAGAGTCACAAGTGTCGAATAATGATTTCGGTTCACTACCATCATGGTGTACCCATGTGTCGTCTGGTTCGTAACGACGGTAGTCACCTTGGAATTGGCCATGTCAAACCTAATTGTTCTTTGTCAGAGACCACTAAGAGGCCTTGTATATCACAGCCGCTTGTAGAAACAGACAATCGCGAGAGGAAGCTCCAACCACCACCGTGTCTTCAGCGACTGACCTCAATTCAAAAGAATACAGCGAATCTTCAAAACTCGCTAAACAGCCCCAATGTGCAAACCGTCGGAGCGGCACGAAAAAAGCAAGCTCACACTCGTTTGTTTGAACAATCTGTGCAGGCTGTGAAGGGCTTACGAAAAGTGGAAACTCACTACCAGTCGAGGACGAGAGCTAAACCGAGTTGCAACAGATCGAGATTGGGATGGAACGGAAACGATGTGGTGATGAGCATTTGCCCCAGAGTTCTTATTCAACTGTAATCTTAGTAACTTGAAAGAAGCAGAGACATTGAGTGGTTTGGCTTTGTTCCCCTGCAGACATTTGATTGGAATCGCCCGTTGTAGAAAACGTTGTTCCAACAGTGTCCGACGCCGCTGTGTGTCGGCAGCTGCCTACACCACGCCCTTTGAATGGGAGCTACCGACACCGCGTAATAGACCCCAACGGTACCATTAACACTCATGATTAAAAAAAACTACTCTACCCATGATGATAAAGTGGCTCTCAAAAATGAAGGAATAGTTTTTTCTTTTTTTCTTTTTTCGTTGGACTTAAGATGTAGTATTTTTGATATTTAAGATTATTTTATGCATGAAAATATCACAACTATTTACCTATGTCAATTCAGAATCATTCCTCATGCCTACACATATTGTTAAAAATTAAATTAAATAAAGATTGATGTTTTGATTATTCATTAGAACTAGTTTGTTGTGTGAAATCTGTAGTCTAAATTTTAAGGATTCTCTTTAAAATATTTTGGTTTTGTATAACATCAAATAGAGGTTTTTACTAGTTTGGTTATTTATTTTTTTAATTTTTGAATATTAAATTTAATCAAAATCTTTTATTAAATTGACTCATCTATCAAAACCATCATTATACCACTTGTCTATGTTCCTTGTTTCTAGTGCTTGTTTTCATTTTCAACCTTATTTCTCATCTTAACTTCTCTTTTTCTTCATCGCTCTTAATATCCACGCCTTATTCTTCTTTCCATATTTTTAGAAGTGAAGGAACTCCCACTGCCAACTTTTAGTCTTTCTTCGCCAACATAACAACTACACTTTGAATTATTTGCATCAAATATGATATTAGCGAATGCACATGGGAGCCAATAAAGAATCTTGTAAATATAGCAAAGAAAGTTGAGGCTTTTTATTGATGACATCCATCAAAACTAAGATGAAGAATTGTAAGATCCATAAAAGATAATGAATGCTCCTTGTTAAACTCATTCTTGGATAATGTCATGAATATACATACTTACTTTAATATTTATCTATATGATTAAGTAGAAATAAATAAAAATAAATTTATTATATAATATTTTTTTAAAAAAACTTCCTAGAAGCTTCATAGATGCTAATTTGACTTTACATATATTTGTAGTTGACTAATAGGCTAAAAACTTGATCAACAAGTTAACCACGTATTAATAGCTTATAGAACAAGGTAACTATGTGGCGCTCATATAGAAAGCTTATCTTGCAAGTTAAAATACATGTCTTGCAAAGTCAACATGTTTTGGAGGTCCTATAGAATATTGCCACCTACTTTCTAATTAAGAAGATATATAGAGGCAAGAATGAAGCCTTCTTCATTCTTGTCAGTGCCTTTCTTGTCTTTAGTCTTATTTCAAGACTTTGTAGTTTTCTTGTCTTTGGAAATAGCCACTGTAATTTAACATTATATCATCTTTGAGTAATTTTTTAGTATTTTTGATTGACTCAAGAGTATATTAATATTTTAATTCTTTGAGATTCATGTCCTTGTTAATATTCATTATTTATCACCAACATATTATTGTTATTTCAAAGACCAAATAGTTTTGCCAAAATATGACTATTTTTTTAGCAATCTTCTCTAAAACAAAATACCTTAGCTATATTCTTTGAAGGATATATCAATCACAAGTCTATTGAGAATTATATTATGAAAGAGTCAAAGTACAAGAAGAGAAGAAATGAGAGGATTTTTGGCACATCCAAAAGTTGCTTACTCCAAGTCTTGTTTTTATTACTTAGTTAACAAACATATTTTCTTCAATACCAAATATTCCATTCTTTCATGTAATTTTGGTATTGATATATGTACTATTACTAGTTTTGTAGTACATACTTGTTTCTTTATAAGTCTATATGTATGTATATGTTTATGTCTATGTCTTTGGTTCTTACTTCTTAAAAATAATTACAACCATCATTGCCTTCTACATAGTTAGAAAGTCATCAAAGAACTATTGTTGATTGTTTTTAAACTACAAAAAAATACAAATATATTCTAAAATATAGGATTTTTGGAAATACATAGTAAAAAGTTCCTAGATCAATAAACAATAAGATAACCTGCGAGTTTTTTATGTATCAAAGTATCCTAAGAAAATGACTCTATAAAATAATCTAAATATAAAAATTATATAGTATTAAAGTACAATAGTGCCTCAAAAGTGTCATAGATAAATACATTTATTTTAATAATTACATATATGATTAGATAGAAGTAGATAAAAGTAAATTAATTTCATAATATTTTTTAGACAAGATTTTTAATAACTTCATAAATATGGTTTTGACTTTATATATATTAATAATTTATTGATAGGTTAAAAATTTGGTCAACAAGTTAGTCATGTGTCATATATTTTCCTATAACATGATTTTTTAATTAGCAATATATCAAATACTTAGTTGTAGAGACTTTAGCTTTATCTTATTAGAAAAGTTCCAATAAGTGATATATTCTCATTATAGAAAATAAATAAATACAAAAGTATCAAAAAATATTTTATTTATAAAAGAAATCTTTTATTTATAAAAAAAAATCTTTTATATTTAAAAAGCTTTATACACAAAGATTTTTAAAGCATCTAGAAATGTCCTAACATCCTTTGTTATATCAAATCATAACTAATTATTTGCCAATAAGTTAGATTTTTCATGAGCTCAAAGAAAATCCATAATCTTTTACAAAAAATCATCTTTATTTTGGATAACAATTTTGCAATAGCTTTATATCTCCATCTTTAATATGTACATATAGTCTTAGCTTCCAAAAATCCCTTTATTTTGCATAAAATATCCAAATTATAGTAAAATCCTTTCAAAATATTTTTTTCTCGTAAAAGATTTTTTTAACTCTAAACTTTAGAAATTTATATCTTTTGATCAAACTATTTAATTCTTTTCAAATTTCTAGATAATATAGCATCTTAGAATTCTTAGCAAGTACTCTAAATCCTAATTTACAAGCACCTGAGTACTATTTTTTTCATATTTCAAAAATCCAAATCTCAAATACCACAAAATTTATGTATAAAGTTTAGTTACATGATAATACACATTTTTAAAAAGTTTTAGCCAAAATCTTATTAGATTGCTCAAGATATAGCTTGAAATATAGCCACTAGTAACTTGCATCACTTATTGCCCTTAGATTGCAAGTGCTGACTTCAAATTTCTATATCTCCTTCATTATAGCTTAAAATTCATCAAGTAGTATCCAAAAAATATAGCCAAGAAAGTACTCTCTCTATCTTAGTTGTCAATCCTTCATTGCTTTTTGTACACATGCATTATAACCAAAAGAATGACAATAGATACAAAATCAATACCTTAACTTTGAGTGCTTATATCTCTTTTTATAAAACCTCTAAATCATTCACAATTTGTATCAAAATCATAGCCAAAAATCTAAATTTTTGATTCCAGCCTTCTGAGTTGAAATGAGTCCAAAAGAATAATCCTAAACTCTAATAAGACCTTTGGTAGCCTCCTTGAAGGCCATTGGACATGCCTTTTGGCCAATAGCAATAGAGATCTTTTTCATCCATCTCTAATCATCCATATAGACATCATAATTACTATTTTTGCTACCAAAATCT